ATTAAATCTCCCCATTTTTCGTAACAACTAGACTGCTACGTGTTTCTATTTTTCTGCATAAACATAGTTGTGTGTGTATATATAACTTTAAAGATCGTAAGATCCAAGAAATGTATCCTCCTCTTGCTGTGAGCTAAAACGAGCTCAATGTTAGGACTTATATACCACTTAAAAAAAGTGGTGTGTGAGTGGGCCAACTTCTTGTTGCGTTCAATACTTGCCTAGACTAAGAACGTAACACTTGAAAGGCTTTCACCTTGTATAGACCTCTGTAAGAGGGACTGTGGCTGGAGGAAAGACAGAAAAAGTCAGATTAGTTTTAAAGGTAATCAAGTCCTTGACACAAAAATACCATCAGTTAGACTCTATTCACCAAGAGCTTCCACCCAAAGTGGCTCAAATAGGATGTAGCATATGGCCAATTTAAATGAGTGGGGAGAGTGTGCGGCCAGGAAAAGCTGTTTGTGGTAAAGTCTAAGAAAAAAGCCCAGAGATTTGTATAAGTGCAGTCATTGCAAATGTAATACAGACCAAGAAGGCTTGTTGATTTTTCTTCTCCAAATGAGAACCATTTGGTCCCTCCACAGGTTTTTGAATTTGTAAATATTCCACAAAATGTAGTAGACTTTGTCCTTTTCTGTAAACGTGTTTATTATTCTAGTTTATTCATTTGTAATGAACTCAAGTCCTTCCTAACCATCTTCTTGGGGTCTGCTTTCATTCAAATTTGACACATAACCATAACAATGCCATGTTTTTATGTCTTTATATGCTGACATCTCCTTCAGACTACTGTACCATGTCCAAGAAATACTCCCACTGTATATTTCAAACTTCTTAATAAGTTGTAACATTTAATTTTGATTTTCTACAGGGGGAGACCAAAATATCAGTATCACTACTCGACATCTACACATCATGGTTGAAGTAAGGATGATTTCTTAGTGCTTTTCAGAAGCAACGGCCACTGGGTTAGATGTCTCATTTTGTAATAGCTTGGATACTAACTATTTTTTTTATTCCTGACAGTAACCCAAAAGATTCAGCAGATCAAGGAAGGACTCCAACTAAAGGTTCATATTTTTCTTTTTCTTTATTAAATACAAATTAAATTAGAAAGCTGAAGTTGGATCTGAGATACTACATTTGTTTATTTGTGTATATGTGTGCCCTGATCCAGCTGTTCATGCTTACAAAATTCTTAAGCAAGATTTGGAAAGACTTCTGTACATTAGTTTGCTTTGAGTATTTTCATCTTACACCTGTACCCAAACATTCACGCTCCTAACAACCTCCAATCAGATTCAAGATGAGGGCGACAGCTTAGTGAAAAAACTGACATATCAGAGAATGCAGCTCGGTTTGTAGCAGTAAACTCTCTGAGGCCAGAGGCTGGCGTATTTGAATGCATTTTAACACATTTGCACTTTTTATGTTTAGCAAAGTCTACAACATCAAAAAAGAAAAAAGACACAACTGCAAAAAAGGTGAATTTTTATTTTGTTTTCATTTCTTTTCGTGGCAGTTCTTGGACTATACCAACCACGCTAATCCTTCTTTTTCTTTTTTTCCCAGTCTGTTCCAGCAAACAAGAAAAAAACTGAGGGAAAAGCTGCAAAAGAAGTCACAGGGGAGAAGAAATCAAAGAGCCGAACATCAGACAAAGTTGTGACTGCCGGTGCAGATGATTCAGACTCTGACAGCAGTCTGGATGTGGAGAAGTGGAAGAAACTGCTCCAACAGATGACAGGTGAGTCACTGAATGCATTATTCATGGGCGAGCGTGTCAAGGATGAGGTGATGAAAAGAAACCTAGAAAAATGAAGAGGGGGTTATGAGTGGACAATAAAGTGACCAAAGCCAGGCTAGAAATATTTGACTTGCCCAAAACACCTCACTTAAGGAGCAACCAGGGCACATCCAGTTCAGATACCTCAAACATTTCACATCAAATGAACCATATCTAAAAAAAGAATCCCATCTGCCCCTCTCAGAAGGAGCGGTTATTTGCACAGTAACTTTAGGATATTTTTCCCTTAATGAAATGAAATTATTTTCAGTTGCAGGCTGTCAGCGCACACGTGGGTGAGTTTTATCTTTTTTCCAACAAGTTTGATCTGTTAGAGATCCAATCAGATGAAATTAGGCTTGTTAGAAGAGGGGTCCTTAACGTGGTCTGAGCTAACATAACCTGTTTCAGGAAAAGACTGTATTTTATATTTCAAATAAGATTTTATTGAAATGAGAATCATGCAAAGATACTCTAATGCAGGTTCTGAATTAAAGTGTAAAGCTGGAAATAAGCAAAATATGTCTCATTTGAGCTAACGTCAAAGCGCGCTATTGAGAGACTGAGATGTAGCATTCAGGCGAGGTGTTCATGGTGGAAGGAGTCTAAACTCAGGTGGAATAAACTGTGGAGGGTGTGGAAAATGTACAAAGTGATGGAAGATGAAGGGAAAGCTTGGTCCCTCCACTTAATGAGAGAAAGACAACCACCAGACAGTGCAGCACCACCCATGAACAACCTCACCATGGAAAAGAGTGATTTCATCCAAACAGAGCTGTGTACAGTTACTGTTTGCTCGCTGTTTATGTTTTCTTTTAGGCATTTGTTCCACCATGCACAGTTTGATGTTTTTACTGGGTTTTCTCTGTCCACAGATGCCGACATAGTCAAGATGAATGCCATCAATGCCCTGGACTCCTCTGCTCCTCAACCCCCGAAAAAGAGAGTCAGGAAACCCCGGGCTAAGGCTCCGGCGAAAACTGCAACCCCAGTTAAACCGAGTAATGGGACAGTGAAACACAATGACGAAGGTGGCGAGAAACATGTGACTGAAAAAAAAACAAAGACGAGCTCGACCGAGAAGAATGTGACAAAAAATGTGACTTCTGTCACCTCAAGCACTCCGAGCCAAAAGCAAAACCTCTCATCTCCAGCGGACAAACAAATAAAAAAGGACAGGGAAACTGCAACTCCCAGTGAACAAACAACTGATGACAGAACATCTGAGCCCAAGAAGAAGAAGAAAAAGAAGGAGAAAATTGCAGACAAGGAGGAAAAGAATGAGACGGGTGAAGATGGAAAAGAGGAATGTGGCGAAGAGACGAGAAAGACCAAAGACACGAAGCAGGAGGAGGCTAAAAAAACTCCGAAGGTGAATAAAAAAGCAAAAGAAACCAAAGATGATGCTGAAAGAAATGAGACAGTCACGACTGAGACAAACACAAGAGGGAACGCTGATGAGAAAACCCTTTCAGAGTCAACGGTACAAGAAAAGAAACAAAAGAAGAAGAAGAAAGAGAAGGCTAGTAGTGAGGGAAGTTTGGCACAGACTGGAAATTCTGAGCAGGTATCTGAGGAAGTGAAAAATAACAAAGAGAGCAAACAGGAAGAAAACAACCAAACCTCAGAGCACATAGCAGAAGAAAAGAAAGCCAAGAAGAAAAAAAAGAAGAAAACAGAAAGTGAGGAAAATTCATTGACATTTGCAAGTGAAAGCATTTCAAAGCAAAAAGCTGAAGACATAGAAAATAATACAGAGCAAAAAACTGAAGAAATTGAGACTTTAGAGCAGACGTCTACAGAAAAGAAGGCAAAGAAGAGGAAAAGGGACCTTCTTAATGGTGAGGAAAATCCAGAACAAGTACTGCAAGAAAAGAAATCAAAGAAGAAGAAAAAAGAAAAAGCTGATGAAGAAAGAGAGCAGGTAGTTGAGGATATAATAGATAATAAGGTAGAGGAAACAACAGAGCAGGTCAAGAGTGTCAAGAAGAAAAAGAAAAATAATCCCGCCAACACAGAGCCGCTGCCTCCACCTGACGTAGAGGCAACGAGTTCTCAAACGGAGAAGAAGAGAAGTGAGTAAACAACCCACATATAGCTTCAAAACATGTAATTTGATGGTTTTGTAAAATTGCTTTGCATTTGTCCTCAGAAAAAAGCAAATTGAAACCAGCCGACATCCCAGAAATACCTGTAGATTCAATCCAAGACGCCATGGCGACAGAAACGGCCTCAAGTGACTCCCACAAAAAGGTATCACGCTACTTAGAAAACAAATCTCGACGCTACTTAGAAAACAAATGTGTCCAGTCTCAACGTTGGCGGATCCTAACCCTCATGTCCGTCTCTCCACAGAAGAAGAAGAAATCATCAAAGAATCATCAAGATGTGTGACTCGTCATCCCGCAGACCCAGAGGACGAGGGTCACATCACGTCCTCCGATTTCCGATCATGTACACTGATCATATATCAGTAGTTAGAATATGACTTAAAACTTTAAAGATCCGTCGTTTATATTTTTGCTACATTTTTATCTTTTTATGGGTTTTGGGTTTGTGTTTTTTTACTTAAGTGTTTCTACGGTAGCTGCCATTTTCACGGCACGCGCATTTCGTGGTTGTTTTGGGGAACTGATGATCACCTGTTGAAATATTTCTGCCTCATAGTGAAATTCAGATGGGGTTTAATTGAGTAACGTCTGTTTTTATAAACATGGATTCTGTTTTGCTCTCAGGAATTTCCCTCGTGATAATCCTGAGCTAGGTTCTCTAAACCACCTTTCATATTTTTATGCAGATTTAAGTTGTAAAATGAAGTGAAACTGTGTGATTCTGATTAAGAGGTTTACTCCTGTCCTATAGCTGTCTTTTGGTATTTCGTTAAAAAAAATTACACACTTTTTTTTAACCAGATGTATATTTATTCAAATTGACATGTCAGCTGTTCTATCGTGGGAAAGGAGGGGAAATTCTATGTGTGTGATGAGCATTATTTTTTAAAGTTTTAAATGTTTGATATAAATTTTCTTATATAGATTGTATATTATGCTTTTAATACAAATTAAACACCATAGTTTTTTTTGTTTTTATCAACTGTACCCGTCCCAAGTCTTACATCTGGTAAATCCTGTTCTTTGGGCACACAAACACTGAACTTCTTACAAATTAAGGGAAAATGCTTGACTTGATGAGCTCTGGAGATTGTGCTGTGCTGTAGGGGACACTCTATATGTTTGTACGTGTCAGGGATCTCGGTGAGACAAATTAAGATTATTAAGAGAGACGAGGCCTAAAACTGCCTTTCCGCTGAATCGTGTATCGTGAGGGTGTCAAGTCTTTTGAAAGGAAACCGAGAAAGCGACTGTTCCACTCCAATCCGGAGGGTGGCGCTAATGCAGCGAAAAGACGTTTGTTTTACCACTGTTAAAGAAGAAAGAAGAAGACTGCCCCACTACCATAGCTACACACTAACCATACGATGAGTAACTGTCAGTGAAGTTTTACAGTTGCAGTCGTTACTGGCCGCCAAATGTGGAGGTTGAACAAAGTTCGTCACAAAGCCGGACAACAAGGCGGCAACTTGGACGAGCTCAGGCTGAAGAGGCGAGAGAACGAGAGAGGTGTGTCTGCTAAATACCGAGGCTCAGTTTCCCAAGCATACTGTAGGTTAACCCTGGTCTTTAACTAAAACCCTGTTTATTCAGTAATGAGCTCATTTTTCCTTTAGCTCTGTGACTATGTTTAGTTTCCATAGAAACTAGCTGGAACTGTAGCTTCAACGTAACCATTATTTTATTAATATCTTAATAAACTATTAGGTACACATTGCTAGAGCCAAGTTGAACCCCCTTGTGTTTTCAGAATTGTCTTAATTCATCAGGGCACAGATTCAATAAAGTGCTGGTATTGTTCTATTAGTACTGGTATTGGTATTATAGCCTCAGCTGTCTATTGCTGTAGGCCATCTATTTCGTGTTGGCGTTCATAGATGCTCTTTTGCATACCTTTGTTGTCATGGGCGGGTATTTGAGATATTGTGGCCTTCCCATCAGCTCAAATGAGTCGGCCACTCTCCTCTGACATCTGGCTTCACTAATGCGTTTTTCCTCTTTCTCAGACCGTTCTCTGTAAACTCTAGAGATGGTTGTGTTGAAAATTCCAGCACGTCATCCGTTTATGGAATACACAGGCCAGCCAATTTGGCACAAACAGCCATTCCACATTCAGAGGCATTTAAATCACTATTCTTCCCCATTTTGATGCTCAGTTTAAACTTCAGCAGGCCATCTTGACCCTGTCTACATGTCTAAACCAACTCAGTTGTTGCTATGTGATTGTCTGATTAGATACTTGTATTTACCAAGCAGTTGAACAAATGTGCATAATAAAGTGTGAAATAGGTTTATGTAATGTGCACATGTAATTTTTTTTTTAAAACTGTATTACAAAGATACAGCTCTTTTTTATGACACCCGTTAGGAACTGTTAGTTAGCTGTTACATCTTCATCTCCAGGCATTTTTACAACACATAAACAGCAAAAACAGTTCCTGTGCAGATATAGGTTTTCGTTTCTACTCGAAATCCAGTGTTTTTTTAAAAATTGAGATGTTCCCATGTACAGGTCTTAATATAAAATAGAGCAGTGTTGGTGACATACACTGGCGTAAAATGATTCAAAACCTAAATGGATATGTTAGCATCATCTTAACTTCAGCTTCGTTATTTCCCCACAGGCATGGCCTCCCCATGGTGGCTTTATCTCAAAAGGATGCATGTTTTGCACAGCATATGTACACTAAACACAAGTATGATCACGTATGATCCCTGAAGGTTAAAGAGTTGTGACATGCCTCTCCCTGAATGCTTTAGCACTGAGACAGGCACGCAGAGACAGGCAGCTGGTGAGCAAGCGACTACTGCTAAATGAAGATGAGGAGCAGCCGGACGTTAGCATGGACACAGCCCCAGGAGGACATGTAAGTATCAGATATTGTGTTGGATCAGGGGTGTCAAGCACAAGAATTTCCCAGGTGCCAGAATTCTCTAATCTGGCCCACTTGAAGGCTGGAAGATGTAAAGGAGGGAATCAACTTATAGGCTATGTTTTCAGAAGTTTTACATCTTTTACTGCTGATAAAGACCTCCTACGTAGCCATTCACGCTAAACTAAAGGAATTATCTAATAGATAAATAATTAAATGACAGAAAAGTTAATGTTTTTTGACATCTTTTGAAATTTTGGTGGGGAAAAAAGAATATTTTCTGTGAATTAACAAAAACTTTGTTTTATAAGTACAGGACAGTCTGGAAAAAGAGCTACTGGAACCTTTCTGTAATTTTATTTTGCTGAAAAATTGAGACATATTGTTGAAATGTTTCTTCTTTGTCTCATTGTAAGTTTTCTCAGGGATTTAAAGTGTAGCTAAATATATTAACACTGACAGAATGGGGTGTTTTTACTACTCGAGCCAAACTGGGCCGTATTTGACCCACAACGTAAACTGATTTTGACATGCCTGTCTTAGATTATTTTTTTGGTAGGTTCAGTAAAATGAAAGATCTGAACTCAGCCTGCCAGTCTCATATTTCCTCAGGACATTGTTAGTCTGCTCCACAAACTTCAACACAGCGGGACAGAGAAGGAGGCACACCTGAAGGCCTTGAGTAAAGTTCTGCGCGACCCATCTGCACAGCTCACCTTTATCAAGTATGGTAGTGGCTTCTGTTGCCAGAGACTAAATTACGCTGTCACTTTTAAGTCACTTCCTCATCTTTGTGTGTGAAACTGTGTTTTCTTTCAGGCACGAGAACAGTATGCATCTGCTGGTCGGCCTCCTCACTGGCTCTAATGCTCAGTGCCGCCTGCAGGCCGTTCGGTGTCTTCACGAGCTCTCTCACTCTTCCCACACTAATGTGGCTCCAGCCTGTCTGCCTGCTACCCCTTACCTGCTCACTTACCTGTCTGGCCCAAGCACTAAGTTTACAGTAAGTCACCATGCAGTGCAGGCAGTTTGTGATATAGTATGACCTACAATGCAGAAGACTTTTGACTTCCTTATTGTGTGGAACATTATATGTACACAGGAGCTGTGTCTCTACACACTTGGTAACATGTGTCCAGACAGCGATGTGGTAAGAGAGAAGCTCCTGGCTCAGGGAATCATTCCCGCTCTGGCCAGCTGTATAGAGGTAAACTACGAAGGCTCACTGTCTACACTAATATCCTTACTGTACTGGCAATTCGTAGAATTGTTGCAGTTGAATCCAAATCTACTCAAACATCCGATTCATAGAGAGACAGGAGTGTGACTGCTACACGTCTTTGTAACATGTTACTGTGTATTTGTCCAGAACCAACGGCACACACTTGCAGTAGTGGAAGCTGCAGCGTTCACCCTCTCTCAGCTTCTCCAGGCCAGAGACGCACCTGAGAAGATAATCCCGTAAATATATCAATAATGCACTTCTTCACATCTTCAGCCTCTGCATTCCTCATCTCGCAGAAAATGTCAGAGTAATGTTTTGTTCACATTTAACCTTGTTGTGTTTTTTTTGTCTTCCTCTGTGTCTGTAGGATAGTCCTGAAGTCTACCTTGCCTTCACACCTGTTATCCGTCCTTACCCCCGACCCACAGTTCGGCCTGGCTCCTGCCATAGAGTGTGCATGGTGTCTCCATTACCTCATATGCAGGTGAGAAGTTTAGGAAAGTGTCCAAAACTTTTTTGTTTTTTTTGCTGATTTGCTATTGTAGGTAATTACTGAATCTGTTTTGTGCCTTTTATTAGCACAGATGATAACAAAGAGCTGCTGGCTCAGGGTGCCCTGTCACAGTGCAGCTCCTTGTTAGTGTCACTAGGTGGTGCTGTCACCGAGGGAAACAAAGAAGATGGGATTGAGCTGGTATGGAAGTGAATGATCAAATCCACTATTTACTTTTAAAACTTGTTAAGACTTTTTTTTTTAACTTTTAAGCAAACAAATTTGATAATTATCATTGAATTAATAATGTAGATTAGTTCATTTCATGCTGAGCTACCTCCAAAGATAGTAAAATGACTTAATTATTACTAAAAGTCAGTTGAAGAATCTAGGAACTGAAACAAAACAGCAACATCGCACATTTGCCTAAGCTTCAGAACAAAGTAAAAATAAAAACTTTGGTTTTTAATCTGACTTGGATCACAGAAGTTTTTAATGTGTCTTCTTCAGCTCATCTGGCCTCTGTTGAGGTGTGTGGGAAACATCTTGTCCTCCTGCCCGGAGGAAGACCTGAATGCTCAACTGACTGATGCTCATCTGCCAGCTTCTCTGTGTGCACTTGTTCAAGCCTACCTGCACACCCTGCCAGCCTTGGCCAGAGAGACCGTCTGGGTCCTCAACAACCTCACAGGTACGGCTCTCTTGTTTTAGTCGTCTCTGAATGGGACTGCAGCCACACAGAAGTACACCTCATCATTACTAATAGAACTGTTTTGCAATATATTTTTCCTGCTTTGCTGCAGTTCAGTATAGATTTGTGCAAGAAAACATTGTATTTTTTTTGGTGTAACTATTCAATCTATTCAAATACTGAATAAAATCCTTGTGGCTGCCTTGTGCATTCTCTGTGCACATCTGAGATTTGATGCATCATAATTATCAGGGTTTTCTGCAGTGTGTGTAACGTGCCCCATTGTGTTTTCTACCTCTCTCCATCCCAGCTCACTCCACTGAATTCTGCTCCGCTCTCTTGACTCTAAACTTGGTCCCAGGATTGATCCAACTTCTCCCATTTTCTCAAGGCATTAATACTATGGTTAGTACTATGATTGATATAAGTGCTTCTTGTACTATAAAGTCATTGTGGCGTATAATAAGAAATCTTGTGGTTTTCTCTTGCATCCTTTTGGATGGAAAAAAGTGTTTTTTGATTTTGTGTTTTTGTTGTTTTTGTTGTTTTTCTTGCTTGTTACACTCAGATTCTCAGGATTCTGGCTAATATTGCCCACAAGAAAAAGGAGTTCTGTGTGCAGCTCATGCAGCTTGGTTTACTGTCTGCACTCTGTGCCACGCTTAAAATGGCTGATCAGGAAATGGTGATTCAGAGCCTGGACATCCTGTTCATGATGACTGTCAGCAGTCCAGTGGTAAGTGTGGTAATTAGTGAAACTAAACTCTGTAATGATTGCTAAGCTGTGGCATGATGTGGTATTCTTCTTCTTCTTCAGGTGGCAGAGGAGTTTGTCAGGCAAGATGGGCTTTCACTGTTGGAGGTCCTTCAGTACAATGGTGCAGCAGAGATGAGACAAAGGTCGACGTACCTCCTGGAGAAGCACTTGTTGTCCTACCAACAGCATATAACAGTAATTGTTATGCAGCCTTATTGTCTCTGTTGAATTTTTTTTGTAGTTTTTAGTTAAAAATGTCTGATGGGAGCTGCTGTCTTGCAGGTGGACAATATGCCGGATCCTTGAATCAACAACAAGACTTGTTGTGTTAGGAGGGCCCAGCTGAGGATAACAACATGTTTACATTTTGATATGATAGATATCAAACTTGTTTGTGTATTTGAAGTAATTAGTGATAAAACTGCTGTCTTGTATGTTTTTACTCATGAAATTTTAATCTATGCAAATATTAAATATTTTTATAATACTTGTACTGGTGAAGTACTTTTGCATAAAACTGTATTTATATTCAGATATGGCTTGACATATTTCGAGATGTTAAGATACTGAAGGTGGAACATATAACATTAGAAACATAATGTGTCTTTATCAACAAGACCTTGTCATCATGCCTGTGTAACGATTAAATAATTATGACATAATAAAACTCTTCCTTACAACAAATATGACTGCTGCTTTTTTTGGAGTATTTGCTGTTTGGTTTGATTTTTATTAAGAAACATTTAGTTACATTTAATCACAAAAAATCTTGGGACTTTTACATGTGATGCTGATGATTAGTGAGGGCAGCACAGACCGACCCAAAGTGGTGGCACTGCTATATGTATGTATGTTAAAAACAAATAATCAGAAGTTGATCATTGTGATTGCTTCAAACTGCTGTTTAAAGCTGAAACTTGTAGAGATGATAAATATGCCCAATTAGAAAGTAATTTCAATAATGATAAAAAAAAAGAAAACATTAATGCAATCTGAATCCGTAATGTAAATAATTTTTAAAAAAGCCTCACTTAAAGACTTTAAGTAGGTAAAGTTGTTGTTTTTTTATGTACACCTGCTTACACTTATAACACAGTGTGCACAGACCTCATGGAGATTTCACTGACCACACTGTGGAACAGTTTCAGCCTGTAACTTCCAATCAAAGTCTTTGGCTCCTCCCCTTAATGAAAAAAAACTGTCTCTTTCTCTTTCTACCCACAATAATCCCTTCCCGTTATCTTTCACGCTGGTTTTGCTGCATGAAAATCCAAGACGAGGTGAGTAAGAAGGACCATTGGGGCCAAATTAATACAAAACATATATTGCTGAAATTGAGAATAAAATCAAAATTTGGAGATCAAGTTACATAATGTTGTTTTGAGGAGGGAAAAAGTTAAAATACTATTTTGAGGAAAAAAACTGGAAATGTGGAGATTACAGTTGTTGTTTCATGAAAGACTGCCATATTTGTTATACCCTTTACAGAATGCCTTGTTTAGATGAGTTAGAAGGACACATTGTTCTGCCGTGTTTTGATCGAATACACAACACGTTCTCACTCCCAAACACCAAACACTTCCCTAGATTACGAGATCGGAAAAATTAAGAAACATGAGAACAGTTTGGAATGAATCTACACATATGCGTTTATTTTACTTAAATCGCTTTGGAAAACACTAACTTCTTTAAAGTGCTGGTTAAGGTTCGGGATAAGGTTAGGTCAGGAACGCCTCTGGACTTGACAAATCGTCACGCGTGAGAACGGGCTGATATACCTCCTCTCTGTTACAAGAGGGCGTAACCACCTTTAGTCTCTCCGTCTAGTATAAAGTGAGTATAAACAGTAAACTGTCAGTGTAGAGAATAGAAATCTTGTAGAAATCTTAATAGAAATTATTGTGAGCTGTGATTCTTTTCCCCACACTGAGCCCTTACCTGCTGAAACTCACTTTAACTTTAACTAATTTTTCTGTTTAGATGCAATGTCACACGCACGAGGTTCAATTAGCTTTGCACAAAAATAATACATACCAGGTTGTCAGTAGTTTCACTAACTCTGCCAATAATGCCGATCTACTTATAATACAGTAAGTGTGCACAGACCTAATGGGGATTTCATTTTAACTGAGTGGTTTACTCACTATACTGTGGAACAGCCTCAGCCTGTAACTTCCAGACAGTCTTTAGCCCCACCACTTAATAAAAAAAGAAGTCTCAAATTGCCACACTTCCTCTTTCCACCCACAACATTCCCTTCCTGTTATCTTTCACTCTGCTTTTTCTGCATGAAAATCTAAGACGGGGTGAGTTACGTTTTCTAAGACTTTTGAAAAATCTTGCATTCATCTGGCTTTTAAATGTTTTCTGCTACTCCACAGATATTCTGCCCCCAACAATCTGTGCTGCTGTGGGGAAGCATCCAGTTCAATTAAGTCTTTTTGACCCACAGCCAAGCACTGTGTGTAGTTTCCTGAAAATGGAGGGAACTCAGACAACGACTAGAGAGGAGGGGCCAACAGAAAGAAATGGGGATCAGGGGACTAGCAGCAATGTGCCGATGTCCAGCAAACCTCTGCATCGCTTTGTCCGAAAGGAGCCCAGAAGTCTTGGGGTAACACATCAGATAAGCAAAATCTTAAATAAGCAGATTTATACACGAGGATAGCTATAAGCTGATGCAGCTGTAGACACTCTCATCCATTTTTCCTCTTCCCCTTTCCAGATTGTCATTCTGATGTTTGGCTGTGCTGAGTTGTTAATGGGATTTCAGTTCTCCAATGAAGAGTTCAAAATCTCTGCTCAACTCTACATTCCCTTTTGGCAGGGAGCTCTGGTACTTACTGTAGCATTTTACTGGCTAGCACTGACATGCTGACAGCTAAAAATGATTGAACTTGACTGCTCATATCTTCTGTGCAGTTATTGTTCAGAAAAGTTCAAAGTACTGCCTGTGCTATACTTTTATATATGAGGCTACAACCATCAGTTTGTTAGGTTAACAGCACAAGCATGACACACAGTCATAATACCAAAAGGTTTAAAAAATGCATCTGGTACAATTGCAATGCTACGTGTTAACTAGATCTTTCCGATGACAAATAACCATCAGCAAGTATTCATAGTTTCCGACAAAAGATGTATTGTATGAAGACAGACTCACACAGCTTCACACTGTGAAAATATCACCCATATTACTAAATCTACTGTGGGTTAAGGTCAAACAGCATCATTTGTTGTGATTATTTGCTCACTAGTTTCTTACCTGTGGAATCCTGTCAGTCTACACTGAGTTGCATCCGTCCAAGAAGATGGTACGTCATGGTTTTATTTCCTATTTGTGATTTTCAGCCCTGTTTATACTCCTACAGTCCTTCCTAATTCAGTGGCCTAATTAATTTTGATTAACTTATCTTTCCCAGGTGACTGTGTGCTTGGCCCTGTATGTGGTTTCCATCTTTGGAATCGTAATCTCTTTCATATACAGGATTATCCAGGTCATCGCTTATCCCTACTTTTTTTTTTGGCGATTTCGTTTGAGCGATGCAAGTGTGGTGAGTTACAGTATATATCTATTTTTTGATTATGATTGTATGACATGCATGTTTTCACAGCATATCAATAACTCTCACTTTCTGTCACTGTAGATGCTGCTGATAAGTATCGAAGCCATTTTACTGACCTCCACTATTTGCGTGTTAGTGATTCTCATTTTTCTAACCACTGTCGCAGGTTTCGCACTGAAATCCACACGCACTCAGGTAATAGCATATTTTATTTTATTATTATTATTGACATACAAGCCTTCTGTCTACTTCAAAGAAACATGCCACAGAGTCCGATTTATCCCAGGGATATCTGCTGAAGGACAGTTTTCAATAGCTTTGGTCACTCATCATTTTCTTTTTCTTCCACTTTCATGTTTTGTTTTGTTTTTTCAGGTCATCATCCAGCAAATTCCACCACCGAGGACTGAAACGCCATCGGACTGAGGACATCTTTTTTAAAGCATTATTAAACATTACACGACCTTACTAAAACACACTTGTTGGTCTCTTGTGACACTTGTTCTTGAACTAAAATCATTTATGTCATCACTGTGAGGAAAAACTATCTTAGAAGAACTTTTTCAGGAAGGCAATAACGATTAATCTGTCTGGCAACCCTTGTGTTTCCCTGCTGCACGTCTGCAAATCTCTTCTCATCGACTGAATGTGTTGACCTCGGCCAGATGTCATACATTGGACAACATCTGGGCTACGCAACATTTGTTTGTGACAAGTGTCAAAATTCAGTCCAACCATAAAAGTTTTGATTTGTTTTAAAACATACTTGTTAGAAATTCCTTTTTTATTGTTAATATCTGAAAATTTTCTTTCCTCATCAGACCTTTAGTCATTTGGAAGCCATGTAGAAAATCTGTTATGCGTGTCATCTTTTCAGAGACATCCAAACTTTTCCATCTAATTGTATCTGCATTATTATTAGTGTCTTATTAGTAGTGTTTGACTGTCATTAAACAGTGCTTTGTACTCTGTACTGAATGTTTAACTGAAGACATTTTACAATATGACATGTTGTAACTGGATGAGTAAACTATTAGCTTTGACCTCTGGTTACAGAGGGAGCAGGTACGGCACTGTGATCTAAGAAGCCTCGGTATAAACTCTGTTTTTCCTGTTTGCGTAAAATCTTTTTATATTTTGTGCAGTAATTGTGTACTGATTTAAACATAAACTTTTGTTAAGCCAATATAAATATTCTCATTTCATTATGTTAATCTTTGCGTAGATTAGAGCTGTACAAACTCTGTTTTTGCCTTATAAATGATATTTTCATGTGAGTTTGTACATTTCAATAAATTGCTGCTTCTCTCTCATTTTCCTACCAAAACTTGAAGTGAGAGGTGGCTCAAGACTTTTGCACAGTACTCTATATGTTTATATGTGTCAGGGAACTCAGTGTGACGAATTAAGTAAGATTAGTAAGAGAGATAGCTTTTAACTCTCAGGGATGGCACAGTGTTTGAGTTTGGGAGCTGAAGGGGAGTTTGGACCCGGAAACGGCTAATGACGTCAGATAGTTTGTTTAACCTCCACAGTGGCCATCAAATGTGGAGGTTAAACAAAGTTCGTCACAAAGCCGGGCGACAAGGCGACAGCTTGGGGGAATTTCGGCTGAAGAGGCGAGAGAACGAGAGAGATGTGTCTGCTAAATACTGATGCTCAGTTTCCCAAACATACAGTAGATTAACTCAGGTGCACTGTGGCATTTAAACAATATTCAGTTGGTATTAAGGGTGCCAAATAAATATCCCTGACACTATTACAGCCCCAGCGACAGCCTGAACTACTCATACAAGGCAGGATGTATCACTTTTGTCATGTGTTTTATGCCAAATTCTCATCCTATCATCCAATGTTGCAGCAGAAATTGAGACTCATCAGAACAGTCGATGTTTTACAATTTTCTGTTGTCCCATGTGAATTTTAGCTACAGCTGTTTATTGCCATCTGCTTCAAGGTTTCACGTGTTGTGCGTTCAGAGATGCTCTTTTGCATACCTTGGTTGTCACAGGTGGCTATTTGACGTATTGTGGCCTTCCCATCAGCTCAAACGAGTCTGGCCATTCTCCTCTGACATCTGGCATCAGTAAGACATTTTTCACCCAGAGAACTTCAGCTAACTGGATCCTGTTTTTTTCTCTTTTTCATTTTGATGCTCAGTTTGGACTTCAGCAGGCTGTCTTGACCATGTCTACATGTCTAAAGAACTGAGTTCTTGCTATGTGATGGTCTGATTAGATATTTGTATTGCCAAGCAGTTGAACAAGTGTGCCTGATAAAGTATGAAATAGGCTGTACATAAAGATTAGACTCGACTGGACATTAAAAGTAGGAGTAATCTGCATATGTTTTTTTTAAACTGCATTACAAAGATGCTGCTCTTTTTTGTGACACCCCAGAGGAACTGAGCAACACATAAATTAATTATTAAACCCCCCAAAATATGACTATCCAGAGTTGGGACCAGGAAGCAGAGTTGCAGTCTTACAC